GTTTTGGACTGCTATAACATGTAGTTATGCACCTCCCTTTTTGGTTGCAATTGGCCGCACCAAAAGTATATAAATATATATATACCCACTTTGTTGTTACTCGGCTCTGTGAGCTCAGTTTTTTTTTTAATTCTTATATGTTGGTGAATTGCACATTTTTTGCTTTAAAATGATTGAAATATGTTGTTCTTAACTTCTAGTTAAGGTTTTTATGCTTTTAGTTAATCTGCATGCAATAGTTGTAGAATTATAAACAATTTGAAAGTCGTTTAAGCTTAATTTATTTTACCATAGCAGCCATATTTGTTTACATTTGAAACTTATCAGAATAGTGAATTAAGTCTTTCTGAACCTACAGTGTCTTTTTGCCGAATGGGACCAATAGAAAACTTTTAGTTTTGTGCACTGGAAAATCTGCTCTCTTGCCTGCTGGCCGAATTGCTTGTTTTTGCATAGAAACTGTAATTTTAATTGTAAAAATTGTTTTAACTGTATTTGATGTTTTTCTATATCTTTCGATTTTTCATGAAGATATCTTTTGTTTTTTGTGTATTCATGCATTGCCATGAAGTGATTGAATAAGAAATATACAGTCAAAAGTCGTTAATCCGGACTCGTCGGGACTTCGGCGATTCCGGTTATCGATTTTTCCGGATTATACATCATCAGTTTAAATCTGGTAAGATGGCATGCAGAAATTATAAAATTAAAAATATGAAATCGTAATTTATGAAATAAAGAACAATTATGATCTAAAGGGTATCGAAATTTATAAAAGAAAAAGCTGAATATTTATTTGTTTACTTTATTAAACATTTCTTTCAATGTAAGTTGTTTAATTTGCTTCGTTTTTTATGTGATAATACATTCTCTTTAATTCTATAAACAGACATAATTTCTTGTTCAGTTACAAAGTTCCGCTGTTCAAGTCCTATAATTGCTGTGTCGAGAATACCGACTAATTCGTAAATCGAAATTTTTTCGTTTACAATAACCTCTGTCACTTTCTTCGCTATCGGAAGCGAATTATAATGACGAGGAATTTGATTTAATAAATCATATCAAAGATGGAGTACATCGAGATGAAATACTACATTTAGTAAGGAATTATAAGCCAAATAAAATGAAAAACAAAACCTGCCTTGAAGATAAGGATACTGCTGACAGATCAACTTCCAATTCGTTGTGCACCGCGTCATTAAAGATAAAGTTTAGATAAACAAAGGATATGCCTTTATCCATTTTTTACAGCGATTCCACTGTTTGTTTAATGGACTTCAAAATATACTTTCGCTTTGTAGATCCTTTACATATTAGTAAATATATATCAGAAATTCTATTTGACATAATCGAAAGTTCAAGCTTACTTTTATAAAATTGCTCTAACAGTCTGCAAAAAATAATAAGCCGAATCCAATTCGAAGATTAAGGAACAATGCAATCTGCAACATTAACTGAATTAGATAATTTTAGCTTAGCTTATACCGTCCGTTATACATTAAATGCGCATTTGTAAACATATTTTGCGCACGCGCACACGCATATTCGCAGCCGTAAAGGTCAACGCAACGCATGCGCAGAAAGTTTGTAGCTTTGAGGTCCGGATTATGGGTGTCCGAATTAACGACTTTTGACTGTATCTGTAATGAAATTTGATTAAAAATTTTTAAATGAAATGCAGGAACAAATGTATATAATTTAATATTCAGTGCAAGGAAGTAATGTGTTGTACACATCAGGTTTTTTTTATGTTCAAGAAGAGTTTGCATTTATAGTTATTCTTATTTTATTTATTTAGTTTGTAAATTTCTGAATAATTCATATATGGAGCTACGTAAGTTATGGTGTAAAATTAACGTCATTTCTTTTTGTATGTTTATCTGCATGCTGTCTGTCTGTTAGTCTATAACTTAACCAGCCATTTATTCATTTCTTAAAAACAGTAAATAATAATAATTATGACAGAAAATATAGATGTGCAAATTTCATAAAAAATTCAAAATATTATTTTATAGAAAATCTGATAATCTAGGGCTTCTGCCATTAACTCCATATTTTACATGTTTCCTTTTAATCGTGCATTTTACATAATACATTTCTTTTCTGTATAGATTTTTTTTTTTGTCCCTGATGAAAGAAAAATATTATAAAAATGTGATCCCTGAAAACAACAAAATTGGATTAAAAGCCAAATGATGCCAGGAATGAGGTTCCGATTTTCACTGTTTGTTGACCTAAAAATACAGAAACGAAAAGCAGAGGAAGGGGCACTTAATTTTTCTTGCAAAAAAATTCTATTATGGGTTTTTCACCTTGGTACCCTAAAAGCATGGGTGTAACTGAATAACATATTCAGCCTGACCAAAGTCATCATTTGTGAGAAACCACTGACTGCCCTCCCCCCTTTTTAGAGTGCTGTAATCATAGGCCACAAACTCCATTGCTGCATTTATGTCATTGCTGGAAATATAACGGAAACAAATATGATGAAAATTTCATGTTATCCGATAATAAAATTTTTGAGTTAAAAAGGTATGTCATTTCTTTTAAATAAATAGCATTTAGATACATAAAGAAATCTAATTTTTGTATGCTCATCTTTTCCTTATTTTTAGATCTTTCATTTTTATATCCACAGTATAACCTGTCAATTTCGATTTTATCTTATTATTAGAAGTGGGCATTATATGCCTGAGTATATAATAATTAACAATGTAATAATGGTAGTTGAAGTTTTGATAATATTAAATTTAAAATGATATAGTATTACTATATTAATATACCATAACCATATAGGAATTATGTAGGTACTTCCTATTTTCGATACTATACCGTGTTAATGATTCCATATAGATACTTCTTATTTTCATAAAATTTCCATATTCCTATTTTCATAAAATGTCATTTCTTCCTATTTCATAAGGTATACCATATTGGTACTTCATATTTTTATAAAATTTATATGAAAACTAACAGAAAAGTTAATGTTATTTTTCTACACTGAAGAGCCAAAGCATTATGATCACCTACTCAATAATGCATTGCATGACTTCTGGCCTGCAAAACATCTGCACCTCACCTTGGCATGGATGCCACAAGTTCTTTGTAGATGACTGGACATAGATTGTACCAAATGTCTGAGCAGTGGTCACGCAAAGTCAAGATATCCCGACAAGGTGGTGTTTGATCTCTGAGCTGCTTTTCCATGACATTCTAAGTACGTTCTATTGGTTAAAATACAACAAGTTAGGTGGTCAGGACATTAATTGGAAGTCATCCTTATGCTTCTCGAACCACTCTAACACAGTTTGAGCCTTGTGACATGAGGCATTGTCTTGCTGGAAGATTCCATTTCCAGTTGGAAAGACATATGCCATGTAAGAGGGCAACTGGACTGCAGTTGTGTTCAGATAGTCCTCAGCTTTCATGGTCTGTTTTACCACAACTAATGGTCCCAGAGCTGCCCATGACAATCTTTCCCAAAGCATAATACTTCCACCATCAGCTTGTGTATGACCTGCTGTACAGAGGGGGAGGAGCAACTGTTCACCTGGAAGATGGCATACCCTGACACAATCATTGACATGATGAATGAGAAATCATAATTCATCCGATCAGGCAAACTTATCCATGGTCCAGTCTGAATGTTTGCGAGCCCATCGAAGATGTAGTTGAGAATGACGCTTGGTCAACACAGGCATACAAGTGGAACATGTGCTGTGCAGTCCCATATCCAACACTGTCTACTGAACTATGTGTTCTAAAACACTTGCACCTGTATTATGTTGTCAGCTGAGCTACTCTGTGATGCCGATTTTGCTGTACCAAGCAGGACAATCTCTGATGTCTTTTTTTCTTTGATGATGTGTGGATGTCCAACACCTTGGCATCTACTGCTGCTTTTACTGTCATTTATCCACTTTTAAAAAATTCCAGCTGTGACAGATCATAAACAACCTACCAGTCGTGCAATTTCGGAGATACTTGTTCCGAATCTTTGGACCATTACAATCTGCCCTCTATCAAATTCACTTAGATTAGCAGCCTTTCCCATCTCTTGCCAAAGTAAATGCAACAATGGTTCCTTATCTCCTCCAGCAGCAGTTAAATACCATTCCCACTTTATCACATGCCCTCTGCATCATTCAGATGAGTTCATTGAAAAACATAGAGATAGTCATAATGTTTTGGCTTATCAGTGTATTGTGATGTCTTATTGGTCACTTTGATTGCCTTTATTCAATAACGTATCCAGAAGTTTTTCCTGGATTAAGTCTTGTTTTACATTGTTCATTCTCTTAAATCCAGAAATCTTTAAAATTTAAAATTCAATACGTGCAAATATTTTGATCATATGCCAAGAATTTTTATATAAAAATGCAGTACTTGATGAATGTATATTCAACTTTAAAACTGCATTTTATACGTAAACTATAAAAGCAAACTTCAGAGCATGAATAAACATGTCATTCAGCGTCTGTCGAAAATACATATGTCCGAAATTTGTATTAGTTTCCTACGTAAACTATTTATTATAGTTCTGGGATTTAAAGAACTTAAAAAATGGCCAGCAGAAATGTTTAGCAGTTACATTTTCTGTGTTAGCTTTGGCATAGTGGTGACTTTTTGAAAGAGAAACCAACATACTAATGTAAAATGCAATGTGAGGGTGAAAAAAAAAAGAAAGAAAGAAAACGAGAATATTTTTGGTCTTTGAAATAGAAAAATCCATTGCTATTCTTGAAAGAGGTATCTGCCTTAAAATGTGTAGCTCCCTTCCCTTATAAAACTATTTACCTAAAGTTGCAAATTTTGTGTGATTTGTAGATGGTGATTTATATTTCTAATAGAAAAGGAATAATAAATGCATATTGAACGTAGATGGTTGCAGTGCCTGTATTTTTTATAAGAAATTGTATTCTTTTTTTAAATTAAAGTTTGTGTATTATTTAAAATAATGATAAATATGTGTTTGTAATTCAGACTTTTTCATTTTTTAGTAAGCAAAAAGAAAAAGAATGTGGCATAGAATAAAGAGTTTTGGTTTTATGTTTTCCCATTTTCCAAAAGTGCTTAAAATTTCAAAGAAGGAAAGGTATATCAGCTAATATTGTTCAAGTGTATTTATGCCTGTTACTTGGTTATATATTTCCATTTACTAAAATTTCATCAAATTGCTTATGTAGTTAAAACAAGTATTAAGTTTTGTATCTTGCAGAATTAAGAAAATAACATTTTCTAATTTTAAAAATTATATATTTCAATTTAATAATAAATGGAGACACTGAACTTTCAGAATTTCAAGACCAATTAAAATTACATAATGTTTTTTCTGTCATTTGCTCAATAATATAAAATTTTGGATACTTTCTTATTATCTGCATGTCCATGAAATCTGTTACATTTGCAAATTGCTAAAAAACATCTGTTTGACTATTATTATGACTCATAGATACTGCCCTATTTATAAATAACAGTGAAAAGCATTTATAAGAAAAAAATTTAGTAGAGAAAAGCAAAGCTGTATAGTTAAAGAAAGCTGTATGCATTTTTACAGCAGATGTAATTGCAGTCCACGTGTATTCAAAGACACTTGTGTTATGCTTATGCATGGGTTAAGCTGTGGCACATCTTTGTTCTATGTATTATGGAAAATTGTCAGTTCTGCCAAATATGGAAAACCAGAGGGTTTAGATAATTAGAAAATACAGTCAAAAGTCGTTAATTCGGACACCCATAATCCGGAATGATCTATAATCCGGACCTCAAAGCTACAAACTTTCTGCGCATGCGTCGCGTTTACACATGCGAGTAAGACCTTTACGGCTGCGAATATGCGTGTGCGCATGCGCATAATACGTTTACACATGCATGTTTAATGTATAACGGACGGTAAAAGCTAAGCTAAAATTACCTAATTCAATTAATGTTGCAGATTGCGTTGTTCCTTAATCTTCGATTTGGATCTGACTTATTATCTTTTGCAGACTGTTAGAGCAATTTTATAAAAGTAAGCTTGAACTTTCGATTATGTGAAATAGAATTTCCGATATATATTTACTAATATGTAAAGGATCTACAGAGCGAAAGTATGTTTCGAAGTCCATTAAACAAAAAGTAGAATTGCTGGAAAAAAAAAAAATGGATAAAGGCATATCCTTTGTTTCTCTAACCATTCCGAAATCTGTTTAACAGTTTCACGCTGCTCTGTGGAGAAGGGGGGGAAACGGCGCGGCACGCAATGAATTGCAAGTTGATCTGTCAGCACTATCCTTATCTTCAGGGCAGATGTTTTTATTTTATTTGGCTTATAATTCCTTACTAAATGTAGTATTTCATCTCGATGTACTCCATCTTTGATATGATTTAAATCAAATTCCTCATCATTATAATTCGCTTCCGATAGTGAAGAAAGTGACACAGAGGTTATTGAAAACGAAAAAAGTTCGATTGACAAATTAGTCGGTATTCTCGACACAGCAATTATAGGACTTGAACAGCGGAACTTTGTAACTGAAGAAGAAATTATGTCTGTTTATAGAATTAAAGAGAAAGTATTATCACATAAAACAAAGCAACTTAAACAACTTACATTGAAAGAAATGTTTAGTAAAGTAAACAAATAAATATTAAGCTTTTTTTTTTTGTTGTTGTTGTTGTTGTAAATTTTGATACCCTTTATATCATAATTGTTCTTTGTTTCATAAATTACAGTTTCATATTTTTAATTTTATAATTTCTGCATGCCATCTTACCAGATTTAAACTGATGATCTATAATCCGGAAAAATCGATAATCCGGAATCGCCGAAGTCCCGACGAGTCCGGCGAGACTTTTGACTGTACTGATTTTTAAGTTTGTAGTAAGTTTCTTAGATTTTAGCAATAATTTTTTAAATAGGGAGCTTTAAAAATAATTAATCTAAAAAATATTTTATAATTTTGTTAAGCAAGTGCTTTTCAGTACTGTTCTTTTGCTTGAAATACCTAAAATAGGTAATTAATAACTGCTAAGTTTGATTTTATTAATGTCATATACTTCTGATACTGTAATTATAAGACAAAGTCTGAAATTCAGCTACTCAATATCCCGAATAACTTAATATCCAGGTATCTGGACCACCAGCTAAAAAATGATACTAATAACATAAATTAATTAATTAAAAAAAACTCTTTACAAAGTCTAGAAACGCAGAAAATAACAATAAAATGAAGCAAGTATGTTGTAAACAGTTTTTTCGCTGGGCTAACAAAGATTCCTGCATGCCATTTTCAAACACCTATTGGTTAAGGAGTCAATTGTCACCAATAATAATGATTTGATTGACACTGCACTGATGTTGGCCAGGATCACGCTTCTGGTGTTTGTGTGTGGGGGGGGAGGGGTAGGACTAGCATTTCACATATTGCCACCTGGTGGAATCTGTCAGTCCTGAAATTTTAAGGAAAAAAAAAAAAAAAGTGGCCCATTGCCTCACGAAATTTTAAAAATTTTGCTATCCCTAATTTTTGCTGCTTGGTATTCCTTTAACCCTTTTGTCCTGAACAGTACACATGTGCACCACTGATATTTAAAAATACTTGCAGGATATATTTAACGTTATAACTAAATGAAAAGTGTACTACTGTGGTATTTTAAGTACCATGAAATCCTCCCAGTGTATAACACCAGACGAATTCCACTAAATGTAAAGTTATATTTGTTAATAAACCAGTGAGTACCTCTGCTATGCATTTTACAGTAAATTTATGAAAGAACAAACTTGATTTTATACATAATTTCTGTAATATTTATAATACGTTTAGAAAAGAAATAGAATATCAGGTATGTATGAATTACTTAGAATTTAGAAATTATTTATGTTTTTGTTTATATGGTATATATATGTACCAACTGATATTATTAGCAGTACATATTATTATTTGTACATATATTTACCATAATTTACGCAAATTATTGTAACATTGTAACAGACAATAAATTATGCGGCTTTGGGTACATGCATGGCCAACTGCAATCCTCTAAGGAAAAACAATGAAAAAATAATGAAACTACAATGAGTAAACTAATAATAATAGAAATTGCTTTTGTTTTTGTCTGAAAATCTATTATTCATATTGAGGTACCAAAGGGTTAAATTCTAAACTTTTTACCGCTTCTAAATTCCGACATTCAGTGTGGCTACGCCAACTGTATCTGCTCTGGCACTGGCCTTTTGCCAGTTGGGATTAGCATTTTTCTCTGTGTTCTTAACAGTTCCCCCCCAATGTTGCTATGTTCGTATGTTATCTTGCTAGATTTAAACGCATGCTCTAAAATCCAGAAATTTCCGAAATTGCCAAAGTTCTTATGATTCTGGATCGCAGACTTTGTGCTATATAGTGCTTTTGTAACTATGCAAAGCAGCTACTATGTTTAATTTTCAGAGGTGGCAAACATTTTTGTCTAATCTGTGATTTGAAAGTTTTAAATATAATGAAGTGCTCATTCAGTGGCCTCTTTAATGAGAAATTTATATTTTTGTAACAGCAAGTGTCAAGTTTATGCTGTAATATCTGTATTAATAGTAACTGATGTTATTAATTTGTGAACTATTAAAGAACTTGTTTTTGTATCAGTAACTAATATAAATATGTATTGCTATTTTAATTTATTGTTATTTTCAGATTTGCCTGTGTTGCTGTAGCAAGCTCTGTGGTAGTTTATCATTACATTACCCATAATAAGGTAATTTTTCATTTTAAATTGTTTAAAATATTGATAAAACATTATTGTGATAGTTCTGAAAAATATGCTTACAATACAGTGTGAAATAAGATTGGAAATAATCAGTTGAACATTCAATCCTTTATTTCCTATGTACAGTGTTCAGTGCCGAGGTGACAAGAAAATGTGTATTAATTGATTCAAATTTGTATTTAATGTTTGATTAGTGTTCAAAAGTAAGCATTTGTGGCTTTGAGACAAACAGTAAGAGGAAAAAAAAATCACTAGAAAACTATAGGTGTCATTGGTACAAATTTCAGTGCGTGAAGTAGACAGAAACATCCAAATAAGTATATATGAAGAAACCATTTTGAAGTCCAGAGATTGAAAAATTTCCAGAATTTAAGTGTAAGTTATGAGACCAAATTAAAAAGTTTCATAACTACAAAATCAATATTTCATGTGAAATGCTATTTTTCAAAGGACTGGCTCTAGAACAATTCTAGCTAGGGGTTCTCAACAAATTCGATGAAATTTTAAAGGGGTCAGTTATGATTGGGGGTTGATAGCCGACTGTGCATGTGCAATTAATGGGCATTTATTAACAAAAAAATTATATTATTAAAACTGATAGTTAATTGTTTATTGATATAAAGCTATATCATAAAGTAAGAAAAAGAAATATGTAAATTAATTATAAGGGGGAAAATGTGCTAAAAGTATTGAATATATTTTTTAAATCAGCAATATTTTTAATATGTAAATTTTTCGTGCAGTAAGTGAAATATTAAAGCAAAATTTAAGAATACAAGAAAATGCAAAATGTTAAGAATGCAAAACTGGAATGGAAAACAAGAAACTGGTTGAATATTTTTTAATGAGGTGATTTAAAAATTAAATTAAGCAATTTTACACCAACTTATAAAATATGCATTAATACACAAAGTGCAACCATCACTTTTCAACTTGCATCATCCACCAAGTGCACCCAAAAGCAGTCTTTTGTGCAATTAAAATCTGATTTTTGTTTCTGAAAACCTACTTATACAGTACAAAGTCTTTAATCCAGACGTTCATAATCCGGACCTCAAAGCTACAAACTTTCTGCGCATGCGTAGTGTTTACGCATTTCATAATACCTTTACGCATGCGCATATGCATTTACGCATGTGCATAATACGTTTACACATACACGTTTAATGTATAACGGATGGTATAAGCTAGACTTAAATTATCTAATTATCTATTTTAGTTAATGTTGCAGATTACATTGTTCTTTAATCTTCTAACTGGATCCGGCTTATTATTTTTTGCAGACTGTTAGATCAATTTTATAAAAAGTAAGCTTGAACTTTCGATTTTGTCAAAAAGAGTTTCTGATTCTGGAGCTGCCAAAGTGTCTACAACGCGAAAGCATGTTTTGATGTCCATCAAACAAAAAGTGAAATTGCTGCAAAAAAAGGATAAAGGCATGAAGAAAGTGACAGAGAGGTGAGTGAAAACGAAAAAATTTTGATTGACAAGTTAGTCGGTATTCTCGACACAGCAATTACAGTACTTGAACAGCGGAACTTTGTAACTGAACAAGAAATTATGTCTGTTTAATAGAATTAAAGAGAAAGTATTGTCACATGAAACGAAGCAACTTACATTCAAGGAAATGTTTAATAAAGTAAACAAATAAATATTAAGCTTTTTCTTTTTGTAAATTTTGATACCCTTTAGATCATAATTGGTCTTTATTTCATAAATTACGATTTCATATTTTAATTTTACAATTTCTGCATGCCATCTTACCATATTTAAATTGATGATCTATAATCCGGAATCGGTGAAGTCCCGACGAGTCCGGATTAAAGACTTTGTACTGTATTTGTAAAATTAAAAATAATGTAACAAAAAATAATTAATCATAAATCTAACAAACTAATTTTTCAGAACTTTGTTATGTTCTTAAAATTGTTATCTTTACATTATGTATGTGCAGTTGTTTGTGCTATATATTATTAAAAAAATATGGGAGAGTTCAAGTCAGGAGGAAAACTACTCCTTTAAAAGGAGTTAGTGCAAGAGAAAGGCTCGGAACCACTGATCTTGGAGCTAAGTAGGGTGTCAAACCCATAAAGACAAAAACAGGTTGGGATGTCGCCTAAAGAATAGCAATTGCCTTAGGTCGCCTTTTGTTCTTGAATTCTATGTGTATATTTGTGAATGAAAACCAAATAAATCCAGGGGATGCTCACTGATTTCTTTATGATGGAAGTAAAAAACTTTGTGATCGTATTTTAGGCTGGAAGGGGGCAATTTTTTTATTATTACATACTGGAGACTAATCTGTTGCCAATGCATGTTTGTAAAATTTGTGATACAACCAGGTATAGAAAAAGAGTTTAAAATTTGTGTTTGGTATGAAACAACTTAATCTGAAAAAATATAATATATTTTAATGCTTGTATTTGCCTAATTTTAAAATGATCACTCTATTTATTTTCAGAAGAATGTTCTATTCCTAAGACAATATATAAAAGCTTTTTTTTATTTGGGTTTAAAAACAAAATTGGAAAGATTTTGTTGTGGTTTGTAATTAGATAGATACAAAGAATTTAGAATAGGTGATCTGTCGCTTTGTTATGAAGGTTAACTTTATTTGTTTTATGTCTGAATAGGTGTCATTTAAGAAATGATATGGAAACAATCTGTGCAATATTGATTTGACTTAGTATTTGTATATTTTTCAATTCACCAATTTTTAGGAAATGGAAACTATCACCAAACAATGTTATTTAGCACTTTGTGCTTGTTAAAATTAACTTCATGCACAGTGGACTAATAAAAGGTGTATTTGCAGAATGGAAAAGTAAGCATTGGCACAACAGCAATCAACATTTCAACTACTGAAGTTCAGAGTTTATGTTGGCAGACTGACAAAAACGTACATTACGTCATATAACGCTCTGATAGGGAATGAAAGCTTATGAAGAAAAGAAGTCACATTAATCATTGCATGTTGGCATATTTGGAGGTTTAAAATAATGACACCCCTCAACAATTAATCCTTGATAAAAGAAAATAACATACCCTAAGATACCATAAGGGAAAACAACCAATTAATACATAATATGAAATTACACTTAATAAAAGGTTTTTCCTAAAAGCTTTCAGTTTGTTTGTTCCTAATAGTTTTGTTAAAATATCTGCAGTCATTTCTTCGCTTGGACTCCCATCAGCGTCCGAGCGGTAAATTCGCTACACTGCTAGTTTAGTCTGGGGTTCAAATCCGGCAAATGGGCTGGCTGCATGGGCATTTTCATGGTTTTCTCCATGCATAACATGTGTACAACTCAGTTTCCCTTAGAAAGTCCTCCATGAAAGCGACCCTTTCCTTAGGGAGATAGCCCTTGAGTGCTTTGCTGTAATTAAATAAACCAAACCAAAACTATTTCTTCAGTGAGCAGATATCAGAGGTCATAATTGTTATCTTGAACAAGATCTTTCAGAAAATAATATTTAGTGTCTATATTGTTTAGTTCTTTGATTACACATGTTCCTATTTAACATTTTGATGCAACTTTGATTATCCTCATAGAAAACACAGACAGTGTTGGTTTCATGCAAAGTCTTTCAAAAGTCTTAAGACAAACTGTCTTCTGTGCTGCTTTGGCAAGAGCTATAAATTCTGCTTCAGTCAATCATAAAATCACCCACAGTTGTTTTCTGCAGTTCCACATAAAAAGACTGCCTTGATATGTAAAGAAATATCCGGAGTTAGATTTCCTATCGGGTCGTTTCTCCAATCTACATCTACATAGTGTGATAGGGAGTTTTTTCCCCTTCTCATTTATATTTCACAGATATAGATTAAGATGAATTAATTTCAGATATCTTAAGAGCCTTTTAACTTTTGTCCAGTTGGCTTTGGTTGGTTTTGATACTTTTGTGGCTAAGATGGAAACACCAGCTGCTATGTCTGGTCTGGTATTGACTGCTAGTGCAGTGATCCTGTTGCACTTTTAAATTCCTCAGCTGTACTCTAAGCTTTTGAATCCTTCTTTTGCTTGTAATATTCTGGATCAGTAGGAAATATAGATGTTTTACAATCATTCATGTAGTATTGTTTCGGCTTTTTTGAAATGTAGTTTAATTGGTCTGCATAGAAGATTCCCTCATTGACACTTTGAAAATGTATACCTAAATAGAACTAAAGATTTCCTAAATATTTCATTGTGAAATGTTCACTTATTTTGCTTTCACAATTTTCAAGTAAATCTACTATACTTGCTACAACAATCATATCATTCACAGGTACAATAATGTGTACAAATCCTTCTTTATCTTGTCTTGTATATAAGCAAGGGTCATTTTGACTTTTACTTCAGAGAATTTCATTGAGTTTTTGGTTCCATTCATATACTCCTTGCTTGAGCCCATATAAATTCTTTACAAGCTTGTAAACTATCACCTTCAAATCCAGGAGGTTGTTTCATATATGTATCATGGTATAAATCTCCATTTAAGTATGCTGACTGGATATCATAATATCGCACTGCCTTTTTTCATTTTCCTTCTATGGAAGAAGCATTCTTAAAATAGTTGACTTGATTGTAGGATCAAATAGTTCATCATAGTCATTCTCAAATTTTTGCTGGTATCTTTGAGCAAGCAGTCTAGCTTTATAATCAGATATTTTTCCATCACTATCTCTTTTGGTCTTGTGTAACTATTTGCAGCCTGTAATGGTTCTACCCTCTGGAGCATTTGCCAAAATCCATGTACTGTTCACATTTAAAGCATTAATTTCTTCTTGCGTGGCTTGATTCTATTTTTCCTTATTGGCACCTGAACAAGCTTTATGATATGGTGGTGGATCTGCAGCTTACTCTGACTGTGATGTGAATGAACAAATCTAGGAGATCACCTCAGTTCTGTATTTTCAGAAACATCCCCTTTTTTCAAATTATATTTAAAAGTAACTACATCTTCAGTATAATTTTGTCTATCCTTAGGATGAGGATCTTTTGAATAAATGATACCCATCCTGACCAATTTTGATACTGTCAGTATTTGTATCCAGCAAACAATAATCTTTTGTTTCATCTTCATATCCAACCATGATTCATTTAACATTAATGTTGTTAAATTTTGGCCTCTTCTCCCTTGGTTTATGCACATACATCGGAGTACTGAATGCTTGTGTATGTGTTAATGATGGTTTCTTCTTGTGCCGTTTATCATAAGGATTTACTTTATTTCATTGGCAATCTCTTTTGAAAGTAGTTTGCTGTAATTATACCTGCACCCAGGTATTTGTTTGGAAGATTAGCACTTTTTCATTGTGGAGAATAAGGAACAGTTTTCTCGTGTATTATTCCTTTTTCTGTTGGCATTCTTTCAAAGTCATTGCTTACATATTTCCCTCCTTGATCTGACTTCCTCATTTTGGTGCTTTCTCAAATTGTGTTGATACTTGTTTCATGAAGTATGTCATACGTTCTTTAGTTTCTTTTTTATGCTTCAGAAGGTAAATTGTAGTGTATCTACTATAATCATCAATTACTGCTGTTATATATCTTAAATGTTTCTCTATTAATTGTCCTTAAAAGTACTTCATTTCCATGTGGAGAAATGTGTACAAACTCTGTGTATATTCCATGCATTTAAAAAAAAAAAAAAACAGAAAATTACACAAATTTTGATCCATAAAATTAAATGTTTATGAAGTTGTACTTCATGGAATGTGAATTCTTGTGTTCTGTAACTGTTAGGCAATATGCCATATTTCTCAAGAAACAAAATGCTTTCTTTTTCATCTGCTAGCAAACTTCACGGTTCTGTTACAGCTCCTTATGAGAAAATGCAACAAAAACAAACAGTAATGCCCAGTGAATATAAAGGTTACAAACACTGTTTATCTGCTGTGTATGCACACATACCTAAGTTGCCAACACTAGTACACTAGTAATATCACTTTGATTCATATTTAAATGATTTTATGTGTTGACTTGATCATAATGAAGAGGACTGTTTTGTTGCTATTTTAAATGCCATTAGGAAGTTTTGACTATCAAAATTATTGCCTTAAGTTTTAATGAATTTTCAAAGCTTGAACTCTTATTTATTTAAGGGTTTTATATGCTATATCCTTTAATCTGTATCTCTTCATTACCTAATTAAATAAAGAGTGATTTGTGGTTATTTAACTAAATGAAGAGCAATCTATTTTTCCAGTGGCTGGAATGATTAGCTCAAGTTTGAAGGAATTTCTACCAAAACCAAATTTCATGGTTGACGGAAACATATGTAAACACTGTTTTTTTAGGAGGGGGACTTATTTTCAATGCAAACTGAAAAAGTAGAGTGAACATGATTTGAACTGTAGTTTTGGCCAATAGTATGGGCAAGGGGACATACATATTAATTAAAAAATTTTTATAAATTAAAATTTTAAATGCATTTATAGCCATGAGTAGACAGAAAAGAACATGAAAAATATGGGTGAATGTAAATATGAAGTACATTATAGAAGGGAGAAAGTTAATATCTATAACTAAAGATACTATAGCTTTTAGGAAACCATGACTTACAGCAAATAAGATTTTCTTTAAAACTTGCTGTAGCGATTTCATAGGTTTAATCACACAAAATACTTTTAAATTATAGAATTTTAATACAAAGGGGGCATGATTTGCTTGAATAAATACTATACTAATGCATAAGGTCCATTCTAAAGTCTTATTATATGTAATTCGCATAAAATTTCTGTTTTTTGTTGACGGAATGACACTTAGTGCCAGATTTAAACCTTGACATGAAATTTAACTAGGCGGTGACCACCCAAATGATATATAAAACTTCACAAAAAGAATAACTATTTTATATATAATGAATATAATATACGTAATGCTTAATGGGCAGAGGGCCAAATTTAGCAATCCTATAATAAGCAAAAACAGACTGCTGTGTATGTGGAGTAGATGAAACTATTGTTCTATGTGCATAGTGATCTGTTTTCACTTAAAAAAACTTCAGAAAATTGCATAAATTTGGCACTGAGCATGAATTCAGTGAAGAATAACTATCTGCACTTGAACACAAAAACAACTGAGAATCTAAAATAGAAAATTTCTGGGCTGATGTTCATTCTTCCTACTTCTCCGCAATGATGACAGGGTGTTGACAAGCTACCACATTCGGAACTTGGCAACTGACACTCATTTAATAGAAAAAGGACAACATTTCTTGTAAATTAAAAAAAAATATTTGTATAATTCTGTAACATTTTTCCAACTTTTAATGTATTAATGATTATTAGTTTCTCCTTGCAAGGTTTATTTAGCAACATCCTTCACTGGAGAAAATGAGGTAAATTTCATGGCTGATCCAATAACAGACCAGAATGATTTAAAGAAGGTAATTTTTTTTTTAATTTAAATTTTGCTTAGGTTTCATTTCGGGTTTTTCTTTACAGAGATTATCAGATTAACTGCTTGCCTGATTATCCCGAGTTATCTCGGGTTCGTATATATTGCAGTTAATTATTATCCCGAGAAAACTCGGGCGAAGAAGAATTTGTTAGTACGATTTCTTTTATCACGTTTTTACTCGGTCTGGAGGAAATGAAAGGAAATATTCAGCTTTGATTGGCAGTTTGCCAAATTTTGTTGGTTGCGCCGTTCTTTTGGAGGGACTGGTCGCGTGTTTCCCTATTTATAGTATACGTTGCTTGTGGATTAGCAATGTATAAAGAAGGATGCATGCGTTGGAAAAAAATAAAATAATGGCGATGATGGAAGATAGTGAAAGCGATGATTTTTCAGATAGTGATTATGAAAAGGTTGGGGAAAAAATATAAAAAAATCAAATCCAACGAGACAGTGTACTCTGTGCTCCCGTGAAAAGAGATTCCAGCGGTAAGCCAGTAAGAAAAGAGACCAGATACCAGTGTAGAACGTCAGGTATCACTCTGTGTTGTCCCTTGTTTCAAAAACTATCATACAAAGATTAATATTTAACCTTTTTTTCGTTTGCCTGAGATAACTCGGGATAGTAAATTAATATTAAAAATAAATGCTTTTACACCTTCAAAAAATTAAAAATTCAATTTAAAAATCTACATATTTTGATTTGTTTGGTTTTGTTGTATTTAATAATAAAATAAAAAAATGTGATGATTTTTTGCAATTTTTTTCAAAAAATGTGTAAGGGAAGCGGTAAAGAGAAGAATAAGCTAACTATATGGAGGTGCCTCTTTAGATTACTGAAATAACTAGTTCCTTTTCAGAAGGTGCATGCTAATGGTTGTTTGAATACTTAAACAAGTACCCAATCATATAATGAGGCAGCCATTTCTCTGATGGTACCCTGCGTGTGAAATCGCAAAAAAGCCTTCAGTAATGTATGGTATTTCTTTATTGACTTGTAGATACTTTTTCTTGTGCACACTAAACCTCAGCTAACTTATGCTTTTCCTTAATTTTTTTAACTAATTAGCGTTATGCATAATATGAACTTTGCCAAATAAAGATTGGTAAGAAGTGAAGAAATAAACTGATCAATTTGGCATTTGGAGTTGAAATATGTAAAAGTATTATTTTTTAAGCTGCTAACGTGATTAAATATTGTTATTGACAGAACATATGAGAATATAATCAAGGATGGAGAAAGTTTGAAATGTTTCTAAAATAATGACATTTATTGTGTTGAAAAGAAAGAATCTAACAGTGCCTTCAGTAAATGAGAAAATAGAGCCAGAGACAGAATACAGATATGGGAGGAATACAAAGAGGAGTATATAAACTCTGTCAGAGACTCTCAAACAGCACCTTTATAGCTTGTTTACGAAGAAATCTAATGACTTCAAAAAAATTGTAGCTGCTAGAGAGATGGCAGAAAGTATAGAACAAAATGGTGCATATATGATTCAATGAAATTTTCTTATGTTTCTATACTATACTACATCATTTGTATTTATCATCAAAAACTGCAGAACTTTCTGGATGATTTAATATCTATGAGTTGCAGTCATCTTGAACAAATTGAAGAGGTATTTCGTTAACTCCATAACCCTTTTGCTGTGTTAAATAATGATTTATTAATTATTAAATTTATTAACACTTTTGCTGTGTTAAATAATGATTTATTTAGTTAAATATGTAGTAACTTGCTTATGATAGGCAATTTATTTCTTGCTTTGCATCAAACTTTGGATGAATTTTTTATCTGTTGGTTAAGTTCAGCATATGCAACAAGAAGTCACAAATTCTTTATGTAAATACAAAGGTAACAGCAAAGTTAGTTCATTGCTGAATGATGTATTTGATGCTCAAAGGATTGATGACATTAGCTAGGCTAGATTGCACAACTGCTTGCTATCACATTGGTACGAACAGGTATGGCATCTTCTGTTACTGTGAACTTCACCTTTTCTTGTCATTTTAATAATAAGAATATTACAAACTTTGTTACATGATGCTGTGGTGCTTGCATGCATCCCAGAATCTATATCCCTCAGCTAAATCCATGTGTTTACCTGTTCTGCTAGAGCTGTACTGGTTTACTTGCAACAAGCCTGGTGAGCCTCAATTTTGTGCCCACTTTAAATTTTGAGTTAAAGTATAAAGTTCACAATAAACTGTTTTTATGACTTGAAATGAGAAATTGGTGGCTCAAATTGTGACACAAGCTATACTGAGTAATGTGTTCTAATTATTCTTTGGTGGTCACCACAATAATGTGTAGGATAATTTTAAAAAAAATATTTATAATAATAAAAATGAATGGGCATCTTATGGAAAGTTTTAATGCCAGTTTCATTATGCATATGAAGAATGATGAAAACTAAATTAATGTAAAGAAATGAAATATTGTTAAATGTGTGGTAACAAGGTATTGTAATAAAAATAAATATTACATATTAAAATTATAATAAAAATATTGTAATAATTAGCCATCATAATAATGTACAGATTATTGAAAAATATTTATAAATATTTATAAAAATATAAATAAGTAAACATTTTAATGAAAAATGTAATTCCATTACGCATGGTAAGCACAGTGATAATAAAGTACGTTTCCCACTGAAGTAGTATAAAGAAACAATATATTTTTAAATGTGAAGAAAATGAAATATTACATTCCCATCTGAAGGTAAAAGAAGTTATACAGAAAAATATAGCCAATGTCAGTCTGTTTTTCTTAAATAATATTTATTTTAGTTGATATACTTATATAATAAAACTTAAACAAGAGGGAAACTTGTCTTAGGTCAAGTGTTCTTAGCCATAGCATTCAAAAATAAAAAGAATATATTAATTATGATATGTAAAATCATAGATTTGATGATTTTTTGAAAAAAATCCGAAGCTGTTAGAAGCTAGGAGTTTGAAATGTTAAGGCACATAATGGACATGTCTACATGAATAAATCATTGCATGCTGCAAGACTAGATGTTTGAAGTTAAAATTCTTAAAAGCTGCAAAGTTTTGAAGTTGAAACCTTACAAGTGATTCATGATCCATATGAAATTTTATGCTTTACTTTTAAATAATCAGTTCTGTCAAATTTGAACTGTTGTATGCTTTGTTGTAAAAAAAGGCATTTGTATAAATTTTAAAATGTAGTTTCCTTTTTTAGCACAAAGGGCATTAGCCCAGAAAGGCTATTAATTTTATTTTGGCATTTTGTGTTGAAAACTTTAAACGTTGGTTCACTTTTCAAACTTTTGCCACCAAATATTACAGCCATGTATTATATTTAATGAAATTAAACAATGAAGAATCTGCATATGTATGTTTCTCACATTGTGGTAAAATGATGGTACATAGAGCCATCAAATTTCGAATAACGGACGTTTCCACCCAAATATGGGCATCTGAAAGCCAAAATTTGGAATCTGTTTTATTATCTATTTCGTATTTTGTAAAACTTTAATGAATTTTTGATTAACAAAGTCAACGATTTTAAAGTGAGCAATCGCAACACTGAATGAAAAAAATTATCTCCAGCGCACAAGACTGTGTATCAGAAATCCTAAAGATATGCTAATTTAAAAATTATTTTGCAATATTGCTGTTGAACTGAATTTTGTGGTTTAAGGCAAAGAACATGATATTTAAAAAATAAAGGTAACACACAAAACCTTAAAAAAATGCCCGTTTGAGCGTAATGTAAAATTTGAAAGCTTTCAGTTTTTTTTTTTTTTTTTTTTAAATTCATCTTTATGATGTTGAACACTATTTTATTCGCATTTCAAATTTTAAAAGTCCAGAAATGTACTTGAGAAATATTATTATTTTAAAGACATCTTTCTGATTTTAAGCATCACTGCACTTTTCTGATTTTTGAAGTCTTAAAATGTGAGTGATAGATATTATACATAATTGAATTCATTGTTAAAATTACTAATTTTTGAGTGGTAATATTAGAATTATATATGTATAGTATATATCTTTCTTAATGATTGCAGTTGCAATAGTTAATAATAAGTATATTGCAGAGTACAGTTTGCATCATTAACGAAAGAGTTCAAAAGAAATTATGCAAGGAATGAAATAGGCTAATGAAGGGGTTAAAATCCAAGTTAAAGAATGACAGACCTCTGTCATGACTGTTGTGCAGTTATATGAACCATATTTATAGAACTTTTCAATTATAAGAGATTAGAGATAATTTTGATTTAATATATTGCATCTTAAAAGAGTAAGAATTAAACAAATGCTACTTGACCTAGGAAAGAATTTCAAACTGAGTTTGTTTATTTATAAATATTTTGTTCAACTAGTATAGTTTTTATATTTTCTTGTTATTGTAATTTCTTTTATTGGTACAATTATATTTTATTATTATGAATACATAATAATGATGCATTCACATTATGCTGTCAATGAGTTTTTTTTAAAAGTTCAATAATCATAAGGCATCAAAATAAAGTATAAAAAATTATATTTTATTAAAAAATTATATTTTATGTAGAAAGTTCTTAAGTGCTACTCACGCAGTAATAATATATGTTTTATGCATTCTGCTTCTGTCTTTATTTTAGTTCCTTACATATTGTATTTCATTTGTTTTCTTTTTTCATTATATTTAGTTAGTTTAAAGAAATAAATTATTTCTTAAACTCTAAACTAATATTTTTTTAGAAAAGCTCTACTGATATGAAAGCTAGAATGGAACTTATGATTTTAAAAGCCCAGGTAAGTGCTTTCAAAATTATGTTTTACTTTCTTTTATTTTGTTTGCTTATTTATTATTATTTATTTTATTGTTTATTTTATTAATTTTTTATGAGATTTACATGGAAATTTTGTAAAATGTTAATTTTTTTTAAGGCTGACTTTTGCAAAGCTTTGGAGAAATATGAAGAGAGAAAATTTCGTGTAGATCGTTGGGAAAGGCCTGAAGTAAAATTTCATTAAAAGATCCTCGTAAATTTTAAATTCTATATTTGTGATATAAAAATATGAAATTAATTTATTTATTAAATTTATTTCTTATGGAATACATGTTAGTAAATATTAGTCTACTATCATAATAATTGATAGTGTACTACTGGTACTATTCCATTAGAGCGGCGTCAGTTAAAAATTCTAAAAAAATGAGAAGAAAACAATGCTACAACAACACGCCAAATATTGTAGCTCAAGAATTTAACATTGAAACATCCAGGCTCAAGATTTCTAGTTTTTGTTTGAAATATCTTCATGTTATTTTTTTTTTTTTTTTTTTTTCTATATTTCACCACTTTTTTTAGTACAATGGCCTACACAATTTGGCAACTACCTAATGACGAAGAGGCTGCCGTAAAATTCTTTCAAAACAAAGGAAATAATTCATAACAACTGACTTTGTTCTCAAAAATCATTTGATGAAGTTAACTTTTGACTCAAACAAAGCTCCTATATGTTGTTACATATGTTCTTGCTGTGAAAAAAAAAAAAAAAAAAATTAGGAAATAAAACATGGTTTGAAGGCTCACACCTTTCTTTCCTCAGTGTCATTCGTTTTATTTATCTGTGATGTCAGAAATTGACAGCGATTGAATTCTGCCAACTTCAGCTGGACATCAGCCATAATACGACAGTAAAATTGGGATAACTACTTGCGGGGCGTATGTGCAAGTAGTTTGATGTCTCGTAAAAGAAATAAAATTGGTGGAGAATGCAAAATCGTAAAAACAGATGAAGTCTTTTTAAAAAAACACCAAAAAAAAGTTGGATGCGTTCTTCTGGAACAATGGATGTTCGGGGGTTTATGCAGAAAAGCAAAGAATGTTTTCTAGTCGCCGTTCCCGATCATTGTGCTACAACATGGTGACTGCCATTGAGGAAAACATCATGGATGGCAGCATTATATTTTCAGACTGCTGGAAAGGATGCCATACCCAAACTGAGGAGTAATTGTAGGGAGCTGGTAAATGGAGTAATAAATGTCAGCGGGCACTGCTTGCCATCCTTTAGAGTCACATTTGACTTATGTGGTGTCGGTTATAACAAAAACTGAATTTTTATATAATATAATAGTGAATATCTGTAATTTTATGCCACCTGTTTAGATTGAATTTCATTTTGTTTTGTTATTTTTTATATATGTGTAGAGTATTCTTTATGCCACCATGTTTAGATTAAATTTTGTGTTGTTATATTTTATTTATCTGTAGAATATTCTAGATTAAAAAATTAAAAAGAAAAATTTACTTTTTTTAAGAATTATGAAATGAAAAATTTAAAAAAAACTACTTTTTACAGAATCAATTTTTTTTAGTCTTTTGAACTCTATTATTATTTCATATTTTTTTACTTGGCAACTATTGATGGTGGGAAAAAATGGCTGATTTTTAACTGATGCTGCTCTATTGGAATAGTACCATACTAGAGGTCATGGTAGTTTCTTATTATTATAACCTCCATTTAGCCCTCTTGCTGATGGACTGCGGTAAACTGGGAATCCTACTCAGAGCTATTCTTGAGATCTGCAGACTCTAATTGATCATAATTATGATTGTCAACTGTTTGGTGGTTTTGAAGAGCTCTAAATGCAGTTATTGCCTTAGTGCACTTCATTAACAAGAGGGCTCTTGGTATCATTTAATGACATAATGGCATTACATTTATATTCAGTAGTTGAAAGAATTTTATGTAATTATAATGAATTTATCTCAAATTTTTAATTTGCTTTAACTGCTTAAGTTCTTTATTTATACTTTGTCATTTTTTTAGTTTTATACAATTAAAAATAAAAGTTTAAATTAACAATCCTAAAGTGTATAATTAAATATAAAGTATTATAGCTGTTATTATAGCTGTTAGAGTATTATAGCTGTTAACATTCTATTCATGTCATCATCAAATGTAATTTAGGTTTTACAACTTCATTGCCTCAATTTTTTACATATATTCTATAAAACTCTGTCTCTATATATATACACTTTATTTATTATATATGCTTCTATATTTTACAGATTCACTTCTAGTATGTAGAATTGAGTTTATGTAATGTCTATGCTTTTATAATTAATCAGACTTCTTTAAGTACCTAAATTAAACTTTCTAAATTATAATTAAAAAGGTTGTTGTTCAAAAAACATGTACAAAAAAAAAATCTTTTTCTCACTTTTATTTACTTAATTTGTTAATATGCTTACCACAGTTATCTGAAATTTGCCATCCAAAGTTCATTGCAAATTATTTAGAACAAGAATTAGTTTTTGTTTTAAATTGAGATGTATAATTTAATTTTACATGTGTTACCTGTACTTAAGTAACATTTTTGATTAACATTTTGATTTGATGTTTGAAAAAAATGTTTTAGGGAGGTGGTGGAATAACTTGTATAATGGAGGAAGGCGAAGTATTTGAGAAAGCTGGTGTCAATATATCTGTTGTGCATGGAGTATTACCCCCAGGTGCAGTTCAACAAATGAGAGCTAGGTATTTAAAACAAAAATTATGGTATTTAGTTTATCTATAACTAGTGGAAGTACCTGATACCAGTTAAGTTAGATTGAGAGTAATGTATCTAACAACAGAGACAGAGTTGCCAACTCTCCCGATTTAGGCAGGAGACTCCCGATTTTCGACCGCTCTCCCGCCAACCTGATTTACAACATATTTCTCCCGACTTTTTCTTATTCTTAAAATTTCTCACGATTTTTATGGAACTTGGCTTAATACTTCATTATATGAATTTAAAAAAAGTGATTTGGGAGTCTGAAAGCAACTGAATTTTCTATTATATCTAAAACAAAATCTTGCGAATCAGATGAGAATTTCTGCTTTGTGAGTGAGAGCATACATATCCAGAAACGTCGTTCTCCAATGGGCATCAAGCTCCACTGCGTGTAATCTGGTATATATTAGCCAATGAGCACAAAGCAAGCTCAAGGCTGTTATTTGAATGTTCTTAGTTTCGTTATTTCGTTCATCTTGTCCTGAGTTGTGTGAGTACACGTGCCTTCGAGAAATAGTTTTAGAAATTATCATCTTTTTGTTATGCCTGTGAGAAAGGGGAAATACTCGTGTACGTTTCAAAAATCGTACACAGTTGACTTTTCTTCCATTATTTCCTCAAGGAAATGTAATAAATTTGCAATGTGTACCGTCTGTCTTTGCGATTTTTCGATTTCCATATGGTGGATGGGCGGATGTTCTTAAGCATGTGCGTTCACAAAAACACAAGCTTGTCCTTGTGTTTTTGAAAAGTAATTTTGACGAAAAATTAAATTTTTCTTCAGAAACAAAGGATCAAAAAGTTATTAATGCAGAATGCCTGTTGTCTGCCTTTTTACTGACTGGCAGGTTATTGCCAGCAATGCAGTTCTGTGAACTGCGTATCTGGCTCTATCAAACTAGCCACAATAGCGACATCACGATAAGTCAATCGTCACGTACCTTTTCACTGGAGCACAACCTCAAAGAAGACAAAAATAAGTTTTATCTTCATGTTAGAAGTATGTACTGTTGAGTATGTGATTACATACTACATAAATTTCCAGTCAACAATGAAGTGATTTTGCATGCTAAAGTTGCTGATGTTTCTGCTCTAGCAAATGCATCTTTTTCTGATATAAGGTACTTTTTGAACAGATTTCCTGTGTTACATCATTTAATCATGAAAGATGATATTGATGTTGCCATCGATAATGTTGCAGTCGCAATTTTCCATGAACATAAAATCAGCAAGGATTGACACCCAGTGGAGTTTAATTGGAAAACTGAAAGGTGCTGATGGAATTTTAAAATATAGTGAACTGTCTAAAATTATGTTAGAAATCTTGACAGTTCCCCATAGTAATGCAGAGTGTGAGAGGAGTTTCAGTGTTGTTGCGAAAACGAGGACTAAATTTAGATATAACGTTAGTGATGACACATTAGAAAAACTTTTATTAGCAAAAGCAGGCCTATGTGGCAAATGCTGTGAACAAAATTATGAAGTTTCTTTTTTAACGAAAGCAAAATCTGCCACTGTTCATAACATTTGTACGAAAACTGGTTAAACTGTTTTTTTTTTTTTTTTTTCCTTAAACGATGCAAGTATTCAAAATGTTTTTTTATGTGTAAGGTATTTTTGTGTTGCTTGCATTTAAGAATTAGTAACTATTTAAAGTTAATTCATTATTAAAAACTATATTTTTATCATTTAAAAAGTCTTTTAACATTGTGAAAAATCTCCTGATTTTGTAAAAAAATCTCCTGATTTTTGAGTGTCATAGGTTGGCAAGTATGCAGAGAGAATGATACCACTGTAATCCTTCTCTAATAACGATGCAAGAAATACGATTCATGTTCATACATTTTTTAGTGTGATGCGATATGGAATCCACATAAAAAATTTGTATAGGCAAATAAACTAATTCTCTCACATTATATCAGAAACAGTAGCACACAATTTTTAATGATTTTCATCTTTCTTATCAAAGGGTCATAAAAGCTAAAGTTCTATTCAATATTTCACCTGTATTCAATTTTAGTCAATTAAATGTGGCAAAAAATTGATCATAATTGATCAGAAATCAATAATGTGAACAAACAAACACACAAACAGACATTCTTCTTTATATATCTATAGATTTTGTAAAACTTGTAAGTTTTTGATTAATAAACTGTACGATTTGAAATCGAGCAGTAGCAAAACTTTTGGAAATAAAGCATTTTTATCTCCTACGAATTTTTGGAATTGTGAGTAATGTTTTTAATGTTTGGCAATGCTATTTTTATTTCATCGTAAAACTTAGAAATTTTTTATTAACAATCTCCAAGATTTGAAAGCAAGCAGTGGCAACAACTTTCGAAATAATGCAGGTTTTTATCTCTGGCTTGCGAGACTGGTTTCCACTTGGAAAAATGAGAGTGAAAATTATAATTTTTCCGAAGTTTTAGTTAATATCTCTGATTTTAGCTACTTTTTTTTGGAAAAAAGTGGACATCGACCTTTTCCAGGACCCAGAAAAGAATTGTAGAAAGTTTGACGATAGCTATAGTAGTGACTGAGTTATTAGAGGGCAAAGAAACATACTTTCTTCTTTATATATATAGATTGTAGGCTGAACATAATTTTTCTCAGGTTATAGAAAAAATTAGCAGAAAATGTAAATAGCGAGTTCAAGATTTCAAGATTAAACATGTATTGTAAAATACCATATATGACTGACTATTCAGGGAATTGATATTGGAATTAATGCAGTCTGTCAATGTGTAAGGTGAAATATTGTATGATGAAAATGAAAAATTCATTAAGGCAACATTTATTAATTTGTCTTTTACAGCCAAATTTCCTCCAGACAGAAAACTTGATAAATATTGGAATAGTTGAAAGTCAGGCACGAATTCTTGGAAATAAATCGGTTGAATAAAAACTTCCCAGCTATATTGCTACAGTTGTTTTCTGTGTCTTTTATGGGACTATCCATTCACTCTGCTGATAAAATATAGTTTAATGATGATTAATTAGTGGTGGTCAGCTTATTTTCAGTGCTAAATGAGAGGTATAGAATGGTTGATATTGATGTTGAGATATTCATCTCACCTGTTGGTAGATACATATCTCAGCATTAATAGTATTGTTTCAACATTCTAAGCTTCTTTAAAAGATAATAAGTTCTTTAATTTAGAGGTGAGAAATGAGAGTTTGAAATCTAAACACTAGATATTTTTTCAATTACAAATTAATTACAACTCATGAATATTTTAACATTTGAAACAATAACTGGCATTTGCCTTCATTGCTGTTAGGCTTAACATCAATCTTTTTTTCATTTTCATGCATGAAAACAAAAACGTGTTCTGAAGCTTCAGGGTATCGAAATGGCAACATTAATTTATAATAACTGTTATTTCGTAGAAATGTTTCGTTGTATATTAAACTGTATCCCTTCATCTTTATCTTTCTATGCAAAGTTGTCCTAGCCACTTTATTTGTACATTCATCTTCCATGGTCCACCAAATGTTATGCTTTAGTATTAAGCATACAGTGTTCATTTTTCATCATCAACTGATGCAAAAGTCATCATGTTTCCCTGATGTACAGATACTGGTAGTGATGTAGTATTGCAGTAAATTTGCAATCAGTAAGTAAATTGCAGTCAGACATGAAATATGTATTTCTTTGCTTTAAAAGAAACATCTGTGTTGCCTTTGCCTATTATTATGTTTTTATAGGAGCATTTATTTATTTATTTTGCAGTTTGCCATAAATTGCATTTATTTGATTGTTAGTGTATGTTAATTGGTATGTCTTTAGGGCATATTTTTTTTATATTCATGAATTGTATCTCTTACATATACTCGACTGATTACAGCGTTATTTTGTAATTTTTGTAAATTCATTGATTTTTCCTTTTGATTAATTTTTTTAATAATACGTAAAAGCCAAAAATCTTAAAATTTGTGATATAAATTGAAAAGATAACTTTGCAAGCATTATTAAAATTTAAAAAGGCTGAAAGATTATGACAAATTGACCTGGAAAACCTGGAAAAGTCAGAAAGAAATTTTTGGTAAACACCCCATATCTTATTTTGTTTTAAAGAATTCTGCCTCCCCCCCTGTAAGGCAACAACTGTCTAATTTTGAATTTTGTGTAATTTTATATATTAGCTCGATCTTTTCATGGTATTTTAAGAGCTGATAGTCAGTCTGTATATTGTTGGCACAATCGTTTAATTGAGGATATTTCTGTGTGCCAGTTATCCAGAATTTTTAAAAAGAAAATAGTTGGTTTATCTTAATGTTAGAACTGCAGCTGTGATAAGTATTGCTCATTGCATCAATTTTTTTTATGTGTAGTTGATGAAACCATTGAAAAGCAGTATGTTTAATAATTTTTAATTTGAATATTTAACTAAAAGTATTATAATTTTTACTGATATACTTGCAGAAAGGAACATGTACAGATTTTTAAAAAAATAATTATACTTTATTTGAAACATCATTAGCAAATACAGTAATAATTTATTGTAATTTTAATTCCTGGAGTTGAAGTGGAATTTATTTAAAAAACATTTCTTCTTAGCACTGTTTTTCTCTCTTTTAGGGGCAAAAATTTTTCCAACTCAGATAAACTTCCATTTTTTGCTGCTGGTATCAGTTCTGTTATACATCCTGTAAGTGAAATTGTATCGTTTGGCAATTGATAATTCTGTTGCATTCATTTAGTTGTGTAATTATTCTTTATTTTTCAAAAAATTATAGTTACTTTTTGATTTATTAATTTTAAGTTCTGGATGAATTTAAACTCTCACAATTAAGTAACATTTGGTAGATAATACAGAAATATGTTTTCAAGTGCATTAATTAAAATATATAAACATTTTTTATACCTTTATTCGTTTACACTAAATTGCCTTCAAATTTTTAGGTGATATATTAAGGTAAAGTAAAAAATAAATTAACTTATCCATCAACCTACTAATGGCCATGCTGATAACACTATTAACCATTGATAGCTTGTTCAAGGTTTGATTCGTAGTTCGTGGATTGGTTGCAATGAATTTTCATGGTTTTTTTCACCATAGTGTGAATAGCCAGTTTACTATAAACAAATTCCTCTGCAAAGACATCTCATAAGACAAATAGCTATTGCATATTTTCCATGATCACTTTCATAGCCAGCCAATTTCAATTATGGGACAGATTTAAATATCAAATGATATTTCTGCAGTAAAACTAATTATAAGAAAGTGTAGAATAAGTAAAAAAAATAGTTTTAAATTTATATTTATATATTGATTGCATATACAGTCAAAAGTCTTTAATGCGGACGTCCATAATCCGGAATGATCTATAATCCGTACCGCGTTTACGTATGCGCATACCTTCACACATGCGCATATGCATTTACGCATAATACGTTTACGCATGCGAGTTTAATGTATAACGGACAGTATAAGCTAAGCTAAAATTATCTAATCATCTATTTCATTTAATGTTGCAGATTGCGTTGTTCCTTCTAATTGGATCCAGCTTTTAATTAATCTTCTAATTATTTTTTCCTTAATCTTCTAATTATTTTTTGCAGACTGTTAGAGCAATTTTATGAAAGTAAACTTGAACTTTCAATTATGTCAAAAAGAATTTCCAATTCAGGAGCTGTCAAAGGATCTACAAAGCGAAAGCATGTTTCAATGTCCATCAAACAAAAAGTGGAATTGCTGCAAAAAATAGATAAAGGCATATCCTTTGTTTCTCTAACCATTCCGAAATCTGTTTATCAATTTCACGCTGCTCTGCGGGGAAGAGGGAAACGTCGTGGCGCACAATGAACTGGAAGTTGATCTGTCAGCACTATCCTTATCTTCAGGGCAGATGTTTTTATTTTATTCGACTTATAATTCTTTACTAAATGTAGTATTTCATCTCGATGTACTCCATCTTTGATATGATTTAAATCAAATTCCTCATCATTTTAAATATCACGAATACACATCAAATAGTTTTCTGGTTGCAATTTTCTAATTTCGACTATGCATAATGTATGCTTTATGCATGCGCGTGTTGAAAGAAATGTTTAATAAAGTAAACAAATAAATATAAAGCTTTTTTTTTTTTTTTTTTTTTTTTTTGTAAATTTGATACCTTTTAGATCATAATTTCTCTTTATTTCATAAATCACGGTTTCATATTTTTAATTTTATAATTTCTGCATGACATCTTCCCAAATTTAAACTGATGATCTGTAGTCTGGAAAAACCGATTATCTGGAATCACCAAAGTCCCGATGAGTCCGGATTAAAGACTTTTGACTGTATTATGTTTTCTGCATGTAAACACTCAATAAGATTTTTAGGATTTTAAAAAAAGATGACTATAGTCTTTATTTCTTTAAACTTTAGAAGCAGACTTGTACTTCCATTTGCAAAGCTTTACAAAATAAGATGGAGAATTTTAGAAATTAACAATGATTCTCTTTAATTATAAAATAACATATTTAAATATTCTGTGTGTACTGGAATGTCCTTGTTTGTAAAATATTTATTTTGCTGTAATAATTTAAAATATCATGATGTGCAAAATTTATAGATATGTAAGTATTTTTCATTACATAATAAAATAATTTATTAATAGCTGAGTGTAATCAGTATAAACACCTTTGTATTTCTTGAAAGCTTTAACATAGTTGATATGTAGAATAGAGGCAATTTAAGCTGTATTTGTGAAACCCAGATTTAAAAGGAGAATTGGAGAAAAGAAGAGAATATACAAATGTGTATGGAAACAAGCTGAGCAGTGAGGGAAAATGCCACTGTAATATAATATGCATATTAATGTTTTGTGTAAAATTTGTTCTTAAATAAATAAAAAAAAAGACAAATATTAAGGCTATCTCATTATACTCAAGTAACATTGAGGAGTGTTTAAGTAACTGGTTATAATGTAAGTTATTGGAATATGAAAGATTTCATGAGGGCTATCTTCCTGAGGGAAGGGACGCCTTCTTCGAGCACTTTCTAAGGAAACCTGGCTCATATTTAAGTTACACATAGGGAAAACCATGTAGGTAGCTAGCCTTTTCACCTGGATTCAAACTTAATATGAACTACCAGCATTCAGTGGTTTTAACTACGTAGCATATTCGGAAACTAAGTACCGTTTCATTCTAGCGCCGTCGCAGCGCTGTAATAGGCATCCCGCGCATGCGCACTAGTCTTTCTTGTTCACTGACTTTGAATTGTCGCCATTTTGGTTGCTCTATGTTGTGTTTTCAGTTTGCTGTGCTCATTCGAAATGTTTAAGACAATTAGTTCTCCCGCTGACTGTGAGATTCGTGCCGTGATTAAATTTTTGAACGCGAGGAATGTTAAACCAGCCGAAATTTATCGTCAAGTGACAGAAGTTTACGGTGAATACGCGATAAGTGATGGAATGGTGAGAAGTGGGTAAGAATGTTTAATGCAGGTCGAACAAATGTCCACGCCGAGGCTCGGAGTGGTCGGCCTTCGGTTGTCCACCGATGATTTGGTAAGGAAGTTGATGAAGCAATTCATGAGAAAAAACGCTTCACAATGACAACTCTTTCAGAGGCATTTCCACAAATTTCACGTACTGTTTTGTTCGAAATTGTGTCTGACCACTTGAATTATCGCAAACTGTGTTCCCGATGGGTTCCACAAATGCTCACTGATGTTCACAAAACAAAGCGACTTGGTAGTGCCCTGACATTTCTCATGCGGTACAGTGATGAAGGAGAAAACTTTTTAAACCAAATTGTGATAGGTGATGAAACTTGGGTGTGTCATTTCACACCAGAATCGAAACAACAATCGATGGAGTGAAGACACACTCATTCTCCGAAAAAACAAAAGTTCAAAGTGACAATGTCATCACAAAAAATCATGTGCACTGTCTTCTGGGATAGGAAAGGCGTTTTACTTACCGAATTTCTTCCCAGAGGTGAAACCATTAATGCAGCACGATAGTGTGAGACTTTATTCATTTGTTTTGAATGGCACGCCTTAGTAAAAAACTAAGGCATGCCATTCAAAACAAATGAAAAGGAATGCTCAGTAAAGGAATTGTGTTGCTCCATGACAATGCTCGGCCTCATACTGCTGGTGTCACTCAATCGTTAATTCGACAGTTTCATTGGGAGCAGTTCGATCACCCGCCGTACAGCCCGGACTTGGCGCCATCCGACTATCACTTGTTCCTGCACATGAAGCGCGAGCTTGGTGGCAAGCGCTTTGGATCTGACGATGACACGGAAAATGCTGTGGAGTCATGGTTATCGAAACTGGCGGGAAGTTTCTTTGACGATGGTATACAAAAACTGGTCACCCGCTATGACAAGTGTTTGATCATTGGCGGAAACTATGTTGAAAAATAGTTTAAGACATGTATTTTCATGTAAAAATAAAATTGGATTCGAAAAAATTGTTTACTTTTTTTTTTTTTTTTTTTTTTTCAAAACGGTATTTAGTTTCCGAATACGCCTCGTATTAAGCTACCGGTAGGACATAGAAATGAGAGAAAAGAACTGATAGAACAAGAAGATATGTTAAACAGCAAAAAGCAAACCATTTCATGTCACTGGTATTGTTTTTATGAAAGAGTGGCATGGTTATGTTTCTAAATAAAATTTGCAGTAAGAAGAAAAATTTTAAATAATATTTTCTAATTCAACAAATAAATATTTTATAAAAAATTTTATGCACCATACCTTTGTAATCTAATTGTGCTTTTTTCAAGTAACTATTGTTTTCTTTATTCAGCTTAAGCTCTTTTATGTGTAAGGATTAGTTAGATTTCTACTGAATGAAATATAAACAGTGTTTGTATCGATTATATGAATAGATTTATTGGAAGAGGGAAAGTACTTTATATGAATTATTATTTTAATTTTGTATGATTATTTTGTAATTTGAATTTTGGTGATTACTCAGATGTCTTGAAAATTTTTAATATTAAATTATGTATCTGTATTTTTTATAGCGAAATCCAAATGTACCTACTATACATTTTAATTATCGATACTTTGAAGTGCAGAATGATGATGGCACAACAACTTGGTGGTTCGGAGGTGGTACAGATATGACTCCTTACATTTTAAATGAAGATGATTGTCGACACTTTCATCAGACTTTGAAGACTTGTTGTGATAAGTATGATAAATCATACTATAGTCGCTTTAAAAAGTGGTGTGATGAATATTTTTATCTTAGACATAGAGGTAAATATAATGTTTTTTTATTGTTATTTTTTTTAATTTAAAAGGTTCAACTATTAAGTCTTGGGACTGCTTCTAGTTAGAATATTTCAGTGTAGTTCAATTTTATTACACTAATCCTTGTTTATTGCAACAAAACTTTGGCAATAAGAATATTCTAAAATTGCTTCAGATTGAAAATTATCACTCAGTGCAGTAGAATTAGAAGATAACATTAAAAGTATTTATTTTAGAATATCATTTAAAAGTAGAACTTGCTTTGTTCTAACTGGTTAATGCTTGCATTTATAATTTCATTACGGAAGTTATTAAGTACTGTTTTTGGCAAAGAATGCCAAAAACTGGCCAGCAATGTATGACTTGATTAAACATTTCACACATTGCCTGGGCATTCTATAGAATGTCAAACAACAAACTGGCAAAGTAGGAAATACATCTCCGTTTCATTTCAACTAACTGATACTACTTACTACAAGTTAATAAATGATGGGAAAAAAAAATAAAAAATAAATAAAAAATAAAATAAAATAAAAAAAGAGATGCCAAAATGACTACTATGAAGGATCAAGGGGATTATTGGTTGCTTAATCACTATGATGATATGTTTGTGGAAAACAAAATGAAATCATTTATCCTGCTAAAGAAGGTATCAGTACTCTGTAGTGTTACATCATGGGCACTGAACTATTTCACATACTTTATACAACTCATTTGGCTATTGGACACAGAGGATGTGACGGAATGCTGAAAGAACTTTCAACCAATTACACAGAATGTTATTGAACTGTACAGCCACCTTTGTGAGCCTTACCAGAAAAAAACAAAGAGTTATTAAAAAGGGCATTGTTTTGAAACCTATGATTTTTTTCTGATTTAATTTCCATTGTCAGGTAGATCTGATTGATTTCTAATCTCAACCAGATAGGGAATACAAATTTTATTATGGTGTATCAAGATCATCTCACTAATTTTTTTTTACATATTTTGAATGAATGTTTTTTTAATGTCTCATTATTCTTTCAGAATAAAATTTTGAAATGTCTTTTAACCCTTTCGGTCCTAATGAGCATATACGTCCCAGAGATTAGACTTCATGCCCTATTGGGTAAATAGAACCCACTTTTAAATGAGTTTTTATATTTGAAGTGTTTTTAAGGAATTAAAGAACAAATACATGACAAAAGAAACATGGCAATACTTTTAGATTGCAGATGGCGCACTTATGTTTTTGAGCACTCCGATTACTGAAGTTTTGATTTGTATATATATATATTTTTAATTTTACAGTAAGTACAATTATATTTAAGGCATGCTTAGTATGAAATAGTTCTTATTGTTCTTCTTAAGTAGTAATTTAACTTTTTTAATGTCAGATTTAAGAAATTTTGAATAAATCCTTTTTGTGGGATATATTGTTTTGTGGGATATATTTAATAATGGATTAATATATCCCATCAGTGATCAAATTACTATATGCTGATTTTTATGCTTAAACCCATTTTTAGATTATAAAGATGTATAGGTAATGATAGAAAGACTTGAGAAAACTCCTTTATCTACGTTTGAAAAACACCCTGTTATACTACTGGCAAAATCTAAACTCAAGGAATCACTAATTTGGGAATTCCACAATAAAGTATTTCATTCCGGCGTATCTCACATGCTGGTGCAGGTGGGAGAAAAATTCTGGATATTAAAAGCCAGACAAGTTATAAAATCGCGACTAAGCAAATGTGTTATTTGCAAAAGATTCAACATTTCTCAGGAGACCAGATGGTTGCTCCATTACTAGCTCTTTGAGTGGAACAATCAGCCCCATTTATAGTTATTTACACCCCACCCACAGTCCCTCTCAGATTTATACAAAACATGAGAATGGATTTGAATGCTTAGACAAAAGAAATGCAATGAAGTCATCCTTACCCTTGGGCACCACTCCAGGAGCATTGAGTAATTCAAAGGGTCTTCCATACCTTGTCAGTCCCTGTCATAAGGACCAAATTAAACCAAACCCCCAAGGATAGCCACACCATCTAACCATGTTGTGACTCCACAGCCAAAGGGCAGACAAGACAGTACCAGTATGGTCCCTGTCAAGTTTGAACCATTCCCTGAATGAACAGAGGTTCTAGTCCTGTGAAGACTGATTTTATACCCCCATGGTTGAGACTGCTTAAGTACAGATCCTAGCCAGTACTTCCCAACCCTGAGTCAACCCCAGGGGGGAGTAAAAACAAACAATATATTCTATTGATAACCTGTGCTATTACAAGAAGTGTTCATTTGGAACTAGTTAGTAATATGATGGCAGATGCATTTTTGCTTGCCTTCCGAAGTTTTGTTCCTTGAATAGGCTTGTGTTCTGGATCTTTTCTGATAATGCACGTACTTTCAAATGGGCTGAACTTAAGCAGAAACAAATTTAGTCAAAAAATGAATCACCCAGAAGTAAAAAATTTTAATGCTGCCAACAGATATTTTTTGTTTACTAGATTAGTTTATTCTTTATTCCTTTTCTCTGATTACCTGATTAATTATACTTGGATTATATTTCAGCAAACATGTTTATGTATGAGATGTGAATAAAAATAAGAAAAGCTTGGACAACATGGTTCTTCATGCGAGAATCATGCTTATTCCTTAGTGTGATATGTTATTATTTTTTTCAGCATGTGTTTTATTCTGAGTTGAATATGTGATGAATTTTAAGCATATTTTTTATTTTAATTTGTATTATTACTACCATTTGTTGGTGCTATCAGCTCCCAATTGAATTAGGTTTTGAACTGCTTTTTACTTTGTATTTATTCATTTTTATGCATGGATATTCTACATATCTGTGTGTATATAAACGTAAAATATATGCATATACCATTTGTTCAAAAAGTATGGAACATTCCAGTTCAGAGAATGTGGTTGGCAAAAATACATTTATTGATTTGAAAATGCAGATCACTGATTCCCTTCAAAGTATTCTCCTTGGTAACGGGTACACTTCTCCTACTGCTTTCGGCATTGTTGGAAACACCTTTGGAATGCAGTTTTTCGAACGAGGAGCAATCGTTCCATCGCATTCCACATGGCGTCTTCTCTTGACTCAAATCGGGGCCCTTTTAGCAGCATTTTCAGTTGGGAAACAGCCAAAAATCACACGAAGCCATGTCAGGTGAGTAGGGAGCCTGACAAACCACAGGAGTGTTGTGTTTGGTGAGGAAAGCTTGAATCAAATGTGTAGAATGGACAGGTGCATTATGATGGAGCTGTTGAGATTTTGCTGCCCACAGATTTGGTCATTTATGCTGTACAGCATCACAAAGTCGATGAAGGACCTCTTGGTAATACTTCTTTATGATGGTTTGGCTTTGCAGGGTGTACTCATGATATACCACAACATGGGAGTCAAAGAAGATGGTCAACAGGACTTTGCTGTGGACCTGCCATGCTTTTTTCGGTCACAGGGATGATAGATATTGCTACTGTGAAAACTGCATCTTGGTTTCTGAGTCGTATCTATACACTCATGTTTCATCCCCTGTGACCATGGTGTTCAGAAAGTTAGGGTCACTCTTGGCATTGTCCAGCTTGTCCAAATTCCATTCTTTATGTTCCATTATTAATAGCTTCAGAACAAATTTCACAGATGCACTCCTTATGCCCAAATTCTCTTGCAAAGTTCAATGTACCAATCTGATGCTTACCTTTGCCTCCTTCTCAATTTCATAGACTGGAATATGACAATCCTGCAAAACCAGAGTCTGCAGTTGCTCAATTACATTATCATTACGGCTTGCTGAAAGCCTATATGAACGTGGTTCATTGTCCACTGATATGTGGCCACCTTTGAAGTGGTTGTACCACTTCTCAATGCAAGAGGTGCTCATGGTATTGTCTCCAAATGTCTGTTAATCTTGTGGATAGTTTCTGCTTGGGTATCGCCAAGATTTTAGCAAAATTTGATTAATTATCACTGCTAAAATTTTTCAGTTATTTTCCAGCTATTCCACAAATGCTGAAATCTGACAAATGCTCACTACACGTATTCACTCGTTGGTCGACTGCCAGCCTGTTTTCCGTGGGTGGGAGAAATTCCTGAATGCACGTACATGTCCCTTCTACATTGTACCCTTAAGAAAATCTCCTAAGCTAAAAATCTCCTGGTTTATGCAGGAAAAAATAAAAAATTAGACTGTATACTTTTTTGAACAACATAGTATATGTATATGTGTATAGATGCATACACATGCACTTAGTACATTACAGGCATATTGCGATTATGTGTTACTTTACAGGAGAATGTCGGGGTGTTGGTGGTATCTTCTTTGATGATTTGGACACTCCTAGTCAAGAAAGTTGCTTCCAGTTTGTTTCTGTATGTCTTATTTATTTATGCATTTATTCTGCTTTTAATTTCTATACAAAACCATTCCCAAAAATAAACATTTCCCTTCCCCCCTTTTATTTGTATTTGAGTATGTCTGCCTATTTGCTTATTATTAAAAATTAGCACTTTTTTTTAAAGTTAGAATACTTTATCAAGAGAAGAGAAATACACTAAAGTAAAACCTAAAATTAGGCAAAATAGCAACTTAGAATACTGGCAAAATTTTTTTGCTTCTGGTGAAGAGGGTTTTGCAATAGAAATCAATAGAGCCTGTGCCTTGAAATCAATTCAGTTTTGTTTGAAACCTAAACTAAGTATAAGGTTGCTGTTTTGCATAATTTTAGGATATCTTATTTTGGATATCACTGCTTTTAATTTTCAAAGTTTATGAGTTTCTTCTTTCCAGTATTTTTCTAACAATGAATAAAAAATTTGGTTAAACCTTTTAATATTTAACACATTTGCTGCCAGTCATGCGCTGGATCATGATGTGGTGTTATCACTGAAGAGCCAATCACGTGGTGGCACATCATTTGGGGTGATGCCCCAGGTGCCAGTCATGTGCTAGTGTGGGAGAAAAGCTGCACCTTCATTGTTTATTCTTCAGTTCAGTTGGCATTACGCTTTGAGTGTGTATACTGGTATTGACGTGGAGTGAAGATTTTCCTGGTGAGAGGGATGAGAAATTTTTTTCTCCAAAAGATGTCCATGAAATTTTGAATTTAGAAAAATGAAGATGATAAACATACCATAGCAGAATCATGGAAGGGGCAACATGTCAACAGCTTGATTCTGCTATGGTAGAAAACACAATTTGGGAAAATAACTCCATGAAACAATTTCCTTTCACAAAATTTGAGTAGTTGCTGTTTCTGCTGACAGTCCTATGGATTTCTTTCGCGTCTTTTTTACCAGCAATGTGTTGAATGAAATAGTTGTTGAAACTAGTGACTATACTTGTAAAATACTTTGTCACTGGGAAAAATAAGAACATTTTTAATGTTAATGCTTTGAAAGACACCTCAAAAGAAGTATTTGTGGGAATAATTTTAGATATGGGAACCATACAAATGGAATACATATAAGATTACTGGAAAACAGATGCTTTTTGGTTTATGTCTATTCTCAGATAATACAAGTAAGAATCAGTTTCTGTTATTACTGACAGCATTGCACTTATAAAAATTCCACAGTAGAATGCAGAACTCACAAAGGAACAATTATATAAAGCCAGAAGTATGGTGAATTTGTTCAATGCATGATTATCTTAATTATATTACCCGGGATGAGAGATTAATTTAGAAGAATTAATGATATTGTGGCTGGGATGACTTATTTTTAGACAGTATGTACCAAATAAATGTTGTAATATGGTATCAAGTTGTACATGATAACAACACCTATGCTGTGGTTCTCAAATTTATAGTATATGGAGGTATGTTGGATGATTCTAGTGGGAAAGGAAATGTACAAAATACTGTATGGAATTTATATAATGTTGTACATGGGACATAGTATATTATAATAGCTATGCACTAACAAAATTTCTTGCTCATAGAAAACTGCATTGCGCTGGAACAATCAGAAAGAACAAAAAGACATTTTCGAAAGTGATAGTGAAGAAAACCAAATAAAGAGCAAACTATAGCAAAGTAGAATGGTTTTAATGGTTGTTAAATGGAAGGATGAAAGAGATGTCACTTGATGTCTAATGACTAAAAAAATGATATTGTAGAAAAGATAAACAAGAAAGATGAAATGAAATCAAAACCATTTCCTATAATTCAGTGTAATGAATTTATAGCATCAAGCAAAATCAAATGCTTGCCTATTATCCACTTAAAAGGAAAACCATTACGTGGCCTATCAAAATTTTTTACGTATTTTGCAAATAATGATGACAAATTTCCTATTTATCTGTAACCAATATTACAATGGAAATATGTCACTTTATGACTTTATGACTGTTATTTATTAAGGATACAATGTTTAATGAAACAGCTATCTGGCCTTCATGTGATTTCTTTGTATCAGAACATGTGTTCAAACTGTGAGAAGAAAAGAAAGGTGGAAAGCACTACAAAAGCTGTGCCAAAGTTGCAATTCCCAATGATAAGATACCATTTATATCTGAAAAGTTTGTGAAGGCTTTTCTGGCTATTGTTTAGATAGTGCAAAGATAATACATGAATTACTTTCTGAAATATGTAGTTTGTAATAATGTCATTGTAACTAATTTGTAATAAATTCATTTGTAATATAGACATCTGTTTATGATACAGTTTCATACGAAATTAATGCATACTGTTACTAATTTTGATTCATTTTTTAAATGCTACGTGCCAGCACGTAATATGTCATTAGAGAGATAATTTTATGTGTAGTGCCAAGCATGCACTGGCATGTAATTATAAAATTCTATGATTAAAGGCTTAGCAATCAGTACAATACACATAATCATCTTTTATTTCCTCTTTTAAATCAGATTTCTTATAATTAATAAATTGACATATGGGTACTGTAATGACCTCATGGATGAATAAGGCACCATAAGGAAAACGAAACAAACATTTATTATAAATTAACGATCAAAGAGTAACGGTAAAAAAATTAACATTCAAAGAATAATGGTAAACTCGGAGCACTACCTCGCTCCTACAACATAGTTAATCTACCACCTGCCTCCTCTGAGGCTAACATGCAACTGTAGTCTGGCTCACCGCAGCCAGATACATGACACCCCCCGGTAAGATTGTGCTATGCCAAAGCGAAGCAGAATCTGAAAACTGAACCAGCAAATACAAACTTAAATTGTATACTCCACATACCAAATTAATTCAAAATATATGAACATGTATACAAGATGTAATAACATACTTTGAAATAAGTGCAATAAACATTCATCTCACAACAGATGAACAGACGACTTGATACAATAACCGGAGTTCTATAATAAAACATATATGCAATACTATTTCAAAACACAATAATGCAACATTAAATGAAAACCAGTAATTTGTTTTTCAAAACAGATGGAAAATAGCTCTCGTACAATTCCGGAACGATAGAACAATAACTAATGCACAGTTTTAAACATATTAGTTCATACTTAGTTCACACCTATTTCATTCACCAACTAGTCTTGAAAGATATCTGCATTTTTTAATTGTGCACCAGGGCAATGAGAAATATGAATATTATAACGCTGAAGTGCCATTGCCCATCTCTGTAATTTGGCAGAATGCGGTGCCGACTTATGCAAATATAATAATGGATTATGGTCTGTGATCAGCTCGATATTTGATCCAAACACCCAATACTCGAACTTTTTTAATGACCACACAACGTCATAAACCTTACGTTCAATAGTTGACCAGTTCTGCTGAGTCTTCGAAAGTTTTTGACTAGCAAAGCTGATAGGATGCAAACTGCCTTTGCTGTCTCATTGTGACAAGCAAGCACCAACACCATATGAACTAGCATCACACTGTATGGTGTAAGGTTTTCCTGGTTCTGGAGTATACAGTTTTGGTGCTTCACACAGTCAACGTTTCAGTTCTTGAAATGCTGATTCCTCAACATCAGTCCATGGAATTATCTCAGGAATTTTCTTTTCGTAAGCTCCGTCAATGGGCGAGCTATTTCTGCATAATTCTTTATGTAATCACGATAATAGTTGAATAAGCCTAATGCACTCTTTAGAGCAGTCTTTGTTTTAGGACTTTTTATAATTTCAATGGCTTGTAATTTTTCAGGATCAGGTTGATGTCTTCCAGCTCCTATTATATGTCCTAAATACTTTATCTCTGAACGTGCAAAAGCACATTTCTTTACGTTCACCATAAATCTGAGATCACTTAATGTAGTTAGCACAGCATCTAAATGTTTGAGATGAGAATTCCAATCTGGTGAAAAGATAGCAATATCATCAATATATGCTTTGCAAAAATCACTATGTTTTCTCAAGGCATCATTCATCACTCGCTGAAAAGTATAAGCTGCATTTATTAATCCAAAAGGCATCACCTTCCAACAGTATTGGGAACGATGTGTCTTGAATGATGGTTAAATCACGACTTTCTTCTTCTAAAGGTATTTCCCAAGTAACCTTTCAAAACATCTAAACAGGTGATATTATTCACATGTCCAGTTTTATTGATTAGATCAGTCACATTCTCCATTGGAAAATCAACAGGCTTGGTTACTTGATTCAACAATCTAAAATCAATCATAAAACACATACTTCCGTCTTTCTTGGCAACACATACGACTGGTATGCTATTTCAGTTTCACTTAGCTCAATAAGACCCAAGCTCTCTAATTCCTCGATCTGTTTATCTACTTCAGGTTTCAAAAGATTCTGGGATCTTATAGATATATGGCTTTTTTCTTTCAGCTCCAGGTAACAACCGAATTCTATGTTCACCTAACGCTGGCTATTTGGATCTCACCAAAAATAACGCGATGTGCTTGAGTAAGAGCTCGTGTAATTCCTTTTGTTTGCTACCCTCTAAATGACTAATATCCACCTCGATGTCTCTTCTAGTTGCTGCGCAATCTCTTTATTTGGAGTTGCATGAATTTCCCTCAAACTCAGAATCATCTTCAAATATCACTCCCACATTTGTGCTCGAACATAAAATTTTCTTATTTGTTCACATGAACATGCCTCACACTCCCATCGGTAATTTAACTTTATAAGAATGAGGATTTACTCTTTCAACAACTTCACCTGGACCTGTCCACCTAGCGTATAGCTTGTTGCTAGAGTCTGGTATAAGTAAATATACTAGATCACCATTTTTAAATTCTTTCAAACTTTTGCGACGGTTAAAATAATATGCATAAGCTTCTTGTTTTTCCGTGGCAGATAAAAAAGCGAACTCAGATGCTTTCTCTAAATTTATCTTTAATTCTTGTAGATAATCAACTGCTGAATTACTCAGATTAAGAGGGTAATGGTTTTCACCAGGACCATGATGATTTTA